AACTTCCCTCAAACCGGGCCAACACTATCGCCTAGCCCGCCTTCATCGAACAAGACCTATGAATACATTGTCATTGGTTCCGGTGCCGGTGGTGCCCCTTTGGCTGCTGACTTGGCTGTAGCTGGTCACAGTGTGCTGCTTGTTGAGGCTGGTGGTGATTATGGTCACCTCCGAGAGGTCGAAAGCCCTGCTCTGAGTTTCTCGGCTTCTGAGAGGAACGAAGTCAGTTGGGCTTTTTACACTCACCACTATGCGAATGAGACTCAGACCCTGAGAGATCGCAAACTCACATGGATGACCCCTGACGGGAACCTTTACTCGGGCCTTAACCCGCCTGAGGGCTCTACTATGCTTGGCAACTACTACCCTCGGTACGGTGGTCTAGGTGGCTGCTCTGAGCACAATGCCCTAGTCGGTGTCCTCCCTACCACCAACGATTGGAACTACATCAAGGAGCTCACCGGCGACGCTAATTGGGATGCTGAGAACATGAGAAACTACTGGAAGAAGATTGAGCACGTCATGTATCCCTTGCCAGAGGAAGACGTCCAGTATCACGGAACCGAAGGGTGGCTTGGCATGTCGGTCGTCCCCCCTGCTCTAGGCGCCCAGGACTTGAAGATCATGTCTGCTGTCATCGGTGCTGCTAAGGCACTTGGTATTTCTACGGATGCTATCAATGCGGCTGTTGAGAATGTTACGACTGCGCTCATTGCTGAAGTCGGTGACATCGCCGAAACCGTGAGTTTTCCACACCTTGCAACCATGAGAATATCACATACTGACATGTCTACTTAGCTGCTTCCTCTCAATGTGACCGGCGCAATCACTGATGCTCTTGCCAACATGCTAGAGTGGGACATCAACAAGGACACCCCTGACCGTGACAGCAAGACAGTCATGGCTCGTCTCCCAATGACCTTGACTTCTCCTGACTACAGACGATCGTCCCCACGTGACTATGTCTACGATATTGCTACCGCCACCTACCCTAACGGAACCAAGATGTACCAGCTCGACGTCGCCCTCCACACTCTTGTCACCAAGGTTAACTTCGACACCGCTGGTGCTAAGCCTAAGGCCACTGGTATCGACTACCTATACGGCGAAGCCCTATACCGAGCTGACCCCCGCTCTAGCCTTACTGAAGACAGTGGTGTTCCCGGTTCCATCTCCGCCTCTCGCGAAGTTATTGTGTCCGGTGGTGCCTTCAACACCCCTCAGATCCTGAAGCTTTCTGGTGTTGGTCCCAAGGAAGAGCTGGACAAGTTTGATATTCCCGTCGTCTTGGACCTGCCAGGTGTCGGCAAGAACCTTCAGGATCGTATCGAGGTCGGTGTATCTGCTGATGCTACCAGCAACTTCACCCGTATCCTAGACTGCACTTACCTTGGTACCGAGGACGACCCATGCTGGGACCAGTACTCCAACACTGCCAACGTCGATGCTGAGAAGGGTACCTACGCTTCCAACGGTCTACCCATGGGTGTTTTCGCGCAGTCCTCCCTCGCTGACGGCGAGCACGACCTCTGGCTCGGTGGTTTCCCCGCTCTCTTCCAGGGTTTCTTCCCCGGCTTCTCGACGAACGCTGCCACCCCCAGTGCCAAGAACCACTGGTCGTGGCTCATCCTCAAGGCCCACACGACCAACAACGCCGGCACCGTCGAGCTCACCAGCACCAACCCGCGTGACACTCCCCTGATCAACTTCCACAACCTGTACGAGGGTCAGACCACCGAGGCCGCCGACAAGGACGTCATGGCCCTCGTCGAGGGCATGAAGCTGGCCATGAGCTTCTACGAGAACATCACCCCTCTCGACGGCGAGTTCGAGCGCATCTGGCCCCCGGCCAACATCACCTCCGACGAGGACCTCAAGCAGTGGATCGTCGACGAGGCCTGGGGTCACCACGCCTCCTGCTCCGCCCCCATCGGCTCCGACGACGACCCCAACGCCGTGCTCGACGGTCAATTCCGCGTCCGTGGCATTGACGGCCTCCGCGTCGTCGACGCCTCTGCCTTCCCCAAGATCCCGGGTACCTTCCCCGTCGTGGCTGTCCACCTTCTGGCCGCCAAGGCTGCCGACGACATCCTCGCCGATATTTAAAAAACTTCTCTCTCTGTACATATTTCACGCATTTTTGCATAACAAAAAACCCCGAGGCAGTATTGGGGGGGAGAGCAGACAGAAGTCTCTACAATGGACACGATATCTCTCTCTATCTCTCTCCCACTCCTCTTCATCTCTTTTACTTCTTCTCCTTTAGATTGTATATTCTCACAGAACCTTTATATATAGAACAAGGGGGCGAGGGGCCCCTTTTTTTCAGGGAAGCGAATAGGCTTGGGTAGAGGCAGAACTTGGGAGCTCACATTCCCTGCGACATTGGTGTATCTCCGTGTATGCTACTGTTTTTTTTTTCATGATGATCATATTTTTAGTGTGCTTTTAGGTATTTTTTTTGGTCGGACGCATTTTCGAGGGACTCTTTTTCGGGCATTCCAACCATGTACAGGTCATTATTCTTCTCTTTTTTATAACAATGGAGCAAAACGGTCTACAAAAACTTCCCTGGTCCTCTATGCAATGTGAGAACTGGTGATAGATTCGATGATAACTTGGCTGAAAAACACACATGTCTACGTATCGAGCATCTCTATTGTATCTAAGTGGCTTTGTTGCATTGCCATGCGAAGGACCAAAGATAAGATCGCGAGATATTTTCCACAATGTCCTTAACATCGACCTATTCTATCTTTAGCAGTCACTTTGGAATTAATTGTTAATGCCCGAGTGCAGTGCACCCACCTGAAACATGTGGCAACATGGTCATGTAACGACAGTCACTGTGTCGCGTGGCTTGTGTCGCTGTAATTCCTCCCACTTCAACTGCCTAACTCCTCCGTAGGATTTCTTGGTGATCATCGAATTTCATACGCAGCCTACCCAGCAATCTGCGCGTGACCTCCCTATCTGATCCTTGTCCTCCTTCCTCTTCGATGCAGAGTCTGAAGGCTTTAGGCGGTCGCAGCTGAAGCAGGAGGGAAATTCGACAAGCAACCAAGGCTCCCCCTCCGCTTTGTTGATGGACTCGTCTTGACTTGACGTTTCTCATACGCCCATTCTTCACTTCAACTCCACCTAGCTATGCTGACTACCTACATAACATGATAGGCCATTAGAGCCAGAAGGATTCCCTCTCCCCGCCACCCGGCCCTACCCGCGTGGCTCAGGTAGGATGTTACCTAAACTTAGCTTTATTTTTCGCATTCCTACCTACGTATCGCGTCTTGGGTCTTTTGAGCAACTGGAGGCGGTCGTCTTCGTTGTCCACGGGGCTTTGTAAGCGCGTTTTCACGCGCTGTTGTGATAAATGGCCGGGGAATTTTGCCCGAGCATAGCTCAGCGGACCGAAAGTGGCTCCCCTGGCTTGACCCTACATGCTGCTAAGATCTAATTGCATATATACTCCTCATCCCCGTTCTAATTTTGGATACCTGCCTATCCCTTTTCATATCATAAGTAACATATTGTAAAGATAGGGATCAGCAGAGACCACCTGACTCTAAACGGACGCAGTTATTTCGCATCGGGATCCTCTCGCCCATAACACCAGTAAAAGAGATAGACATTGTAGGATACTCAGATGTTCAGGCTATCTTCTTTAGGTAATTTCAAATTTAAGCCCTTGTCGTTTGCGGCACAGCATTCATCATACTCCCCCCAGGTGGAAATATCTTTGCCACTTACGGCTGTCGCAAACCATAGAGAAGGCGAACGAATTTGGGGGAAAAGGTAGAATAAATCAGATATATATATTATAAAGAGTGGAAACGTTGAGACTAAAGGATATGGGAGTAGGGGAATAGTTATTTGGAGATAATAATAAGAGGCTTTAATATAATTCCAAGTTTGTACGTCATGTGGAATTTTAAATCCAAGGGCAGTGTTATAACCCCGTAGGAGATGGGGTGAATTTATCTTTCGATGGCTGGGCAGAGGATTTGGTACATGTTGTCCTGACAGAAGGGAAGGCAAAGGAGAGAGCAGAAGAGGAGAACAAGGATACACGGAGACTATGACCTTACCTGTTTTGAAGTTCACCATATAATCAGAACCCATATATCGCTTTCCCTTCTCCGGTTCCGTCACCACCATGCCGATATCCTTAATGGCATGTCGTCGCCCCTTACTCATAAGTGCTCTCAGGAGTGCAACTCTCTCCTATCATCAGTTGCATGATATTGAGTTCCATATCATCCTTTGGGACCCTTTTCCTCCATTGTGCTTGCATCTACTTTATTTTTGTCCTAAGTTTCAATGTTCTTCCTCTTCACTCAATTTAGATTTGCCTTCTGGTTATTAGCGTCAAAAGAGGCCTACGGCTCTCCTTTTGAAATTTAGTATTGCGATCTCGGGCTCCGCAAAGTGGGCATGATAGTGTCTACCTAAGGAACTATTTCCAGGTGGAGGCAACGGTATCGCAAGTAGTTGTAGTTGCAGCCCCCTACAATAGCAACATCGTGATTACCTAAGTTCTTGTGGAGTTTCTTGTGACATTGATAGATCTTGTGATGCATGCATTCTACGTAATACCAATTATATCTGTCTGTCACTACTAATGACATGGATAAGCTACGTAGGGTATGCAGGTTCCTGGTTCATATCGAGTCTTGATTATAGTATATACCTCGGTAAGAATATTCTTTTTACTATTCTGTAGTCATCGGTCAACATCACCTAAAATTCGAGTAACATTAACAGCTTAAGAATAATCTCATATGCAGCACTTAATGCGATGAGACTCTCACGTAATACCTACCAAGCGCCTAACATTAGCCGCAAAACCCAATTGACCTATCAGATTTCACGGTCAAGTTTTGCATGGGTTATAAGGCAAAATAAGAAGCGCATACCCCAAAACCACAGGTCACCCGGTGCTAAGCACCGGAAAATTTTCGGTCGCGCTCTTGTACACTCTCAATGAGACCGGAAAACAAGTTCCCGTGACGCAGTGGTTAGCGTGCTACTCTTATAACTGTTAGACTGGTTTCTAACTGAATATGATGAAATGTAGAAGTCGCGAGTTCGATCCTCGCCGGGAACACTTATTTTTGTTGCTCTTTTTTTCCCCTTTTCAAGTTCCTCTACTTTCTTTTTAAAGTGATGCCAGCCAACGTTAGTGAGACGATCTTTTATTTATCATTCTCAGAAACTTCCAAACGTGCACACATTTAGGTTGGTCTATTTCTTTGTTGTCTTTCACCCCCTGGACTTATCACAACTCCCTAATCGCATCCACTATCCTTGATAGATTACTCTCTTACCCAGAAGTGTCGGACAAGAGACAATTAATTACCCAGTTACCACCTGCACGACTACATACATAGACAACACAAGTTGAGATGGATGTCTTCGTTAGCAAAATCGCTCTCATTAGGCTGTCACGCTGAGCAGGAATCAATAACGATGAAATCAGTTAGTTTCCTATTTTATTGCTCGACACAACACGTAACTAATTCTCTACGCGCAATCACACGCGCAAGATGGTACAGTAAGCCATACATACATGCATACATGGCTCACTCATTGAAATCTGTGCAACAAATTATCTGCTCTGTCTTGTGTCAAAACATACATAACAGGCTTTCCAAAATACAGGAGCAAGGTACTATTTCGTTCGACCAGCTTCATCGCCTTTAATTCCCATTCAAAGTGAAAATACCGATCAGTCAGTCAGTTTGTGGTTTAAGCAAGAAGAAAAAAACACCTGCTAGCCGTGCACACACACAACACATACACAGTTCCAGATCCCTTTCCTTTATAAACAAAAAAATAAGGATTCATATCGCTAATAATCAATCAAGAAATCATACCCCTAGCCGGGGAGCATAGGTCACATTCCTCCGTAGATCAAATTCATACATATGCCCTTTTCCTGTCCTATCATAAATAAAGCCCTTCCCCCCTTTCTTCCCCCCTCTCTAAATCAATAGGTAAAACGCGGATATAGGTAGGTAGACGTTCTTCTTCTCTTATCCGAAGATGGTCTGCAAGTTCGATCGTTCCACTGCGAAACACGTCAGTTTAGCTTAGCCATCTTATATCATAACTTTTTTTCTCGTCGCTTTCTCTCTCTCTCTCTCTCAGTCGCACCAAGGGGGGCGGGAGTTGGAGAAAGCGAGGGTAAGATTATTTTTTAGAGGAATAGGTAGGTAATAGGTAGGTAGATAGGTAGGTAAAGGGGGGTGGTGATAATACTTACTAACATCGATCCAATGCACATGTTCAGCCTCCCCCATCATCCCCATCTCCACCCTCTCCGAGTCGTACGCCTCCCATACCTTCCTCACCAGGTCCCGGGCGACCAGGATCGGCGCGGGCGGGAGGCAGTGCTCCAGCAGCGAGAGCCGGCCCAGGATGAAGCGGCGCGCGTGCGTCACCTCGACCGACTGCCGCGATATCGGCGGCTTTTCGTGATCGTTGTCGTTATCGTCGGGTCTGTGTATACCCGCAGCAGCAGTAGTAGTAGTGGCGGTGTTAGCACCGCTACCTCCCATGCCTGCGCGGTGGTAGCGCTGCATATACGCCAGGGTATCCGGGTCGAAGCGCAGGCCCGTGCCGGCGGAGAGGTACAGCAGCGGCTGGATGCAGCGGGTGCCGGAGGTGGCGGGGATGCCCTTGAGGATGTCGATGAGGCGGAAGCTGAGGGGTGTGATGCAGTCGCTCCAGAGGGCGGCGCGGGCGGGCGAGTGGCGCGGCAGGCGCCGCGCCCCCAGCTCCGGGAAGGTCTGGTACAGCTGCAGAAGCGAGGCGAGCCGGTACGCCTCCGCCACGTCGATCAGGTGCAAGATCGGCGACATGGAGTCCCCCGTGTCCGAGAAGGTGGACACCTGGTGGTGCACGAGCCCGAGGAGCTCTTCCTCGACGCGGTGCGCTGCTTCGAGGATGGCCCTGTAGCCGTGCGTGGATCGTATATCCGGGTGCGCGCGGGACTGGCTCTGGTGGTGGTGGTGCTTGGAGAACCGGCGGTACTGCCGGCACAGCCGCATGGTTCGCATGAAGAGCAGCTGCACGGTGGACGAGATGCCGGTCCAGGGGTGAGGGGTGATCTGGCCGGCCGGGAGGGGCTGCGTCGCGGTCGTCAGGTTCTTCAGCCGCGGGATGCCCAGCTCGTCGGGCTCGTCCGAGACGACGGCTACGAGCATGTTCCAGTACGTGAGGCTGTTGTTGAAGAAGTACATCTTCTGGCGGTCCTCGGCAGAGAGACTGCCGGAGCGCTCGTTCATGCGCTTGAGCAAGATCTTCGCGTCCCGTAGGAACCGGGCTCCGATGATCCGCGTGTCGACCCAGCAGGACGCCGTGCCTACGCAGCACAAGGCGAACAGGAGGTCGGTGGCGGACTCGGACGATTGCAGCTCGTAAGACGCCGCGATGTCCCTCTGGATGGCTGCAACGGCGAGCCTCAGGTACCAAACGGCGCTCTGTCGCAGTTGGGGCATCTGGGTGCTGAGGCATATGGCCGACATACTCTGCAGGCTGTGCATCACGGCTTCGGAACGCGCCCAGGCATCGCGCGCTAGCTTGCGGTTCATGTTAGAGGCCGAGTCGAAGCCCGACCACATGGAGCAGACGCTGCGAAACCATTCCTCCACGAGCCATGACGCGTGGTCATCAGGGGTGGGGGGGATGCGAGTCTCGCGGGGCTGGCATCTTGGATTATATACACGCTGGCCGCGATCGCGAAGCGTTCGGATACTTTCTTCTGAGTTATTAGATGGGGAGGAGGAAGAGGAAGAGGAAGAGGATGGCGAGGAGGAGAAGGATCGCGACGACTGCGGTGACGCCGGTACGACAGCACGGCTTTCTGCAGTGCTTGCGCCCGACAGTGCGTCGTTTATCAGAAAGTTCAAATCCCACACTTGGGAAAGTAAATCGGCGCCGTTGTTATTATTATGATTGTTGTTGTTATCAAGCCGCGCACGATCCCTGACGGCGGGGGGCGGGGATGATAATGCGCTCTCGCCTTCTAAGGACAAGACATTGATGCCTGACTGATTGATCCGTTGCATTACGGGAAAATCTATCTGATAGGGTGCCTTTTCCGCATTTGTAATCACCGTAGTTGTGGTGTCTTGCGATAGTTTCTGGTGTTGTGTATGTGTATGTCTATGCTGGTATGTGTAAGTGTGATCTATTAGTTGACATTGATACATAGGAAGTCGAAGTTGTATAATTTTTAAACCGTCATTCAGCTCCTCTCCCCTCTTTTTTAATAAGTATCTCTATAACCTAAATCCTTATTAGGAGCATTGATGCTGCAGACCCTGTACTTACCCCATGGTCAAAATGGACTATGCGAGTTATCGTACCAATCAGTATCGAGTAAGATCTAAGCAAATCGTACATCAGCTCCCGCTGCTATAAGTCAGAACCAGCTAGGTTAGGTTAACCAGGTTCCTACAGGTTGATAGGAACCTAACTTCCTACGTCATGCCCACAGCAACTGATTGCCGCCAGTCACATCAAATTGAAGGTCTTGGAATTTGATACATAATGGCAACTATCGTCGTGTCGTTGTTTGTTTTGTTGCTTTGCTGTTAACTCCAACCAGTTGACCTGAGATGGCCTATCGTAGATCCCATCAATATTAGTTTTCCTCCTGTGAATATTGATAGGTATGTAATAAAGTTGATAGTTGACAGTTGACAGTTGACAGTTGACAGTTGACAGTTGACACATGTAACGACGATGCATCAAATGCCTAGGTTAGGTACCTTAGTGCTGGTAACTGTATCTCACTTCTATTTTGTGTGTGTTAGTGCAATACATACAGGATATCCGTATTCCCGAAACTAGTAGGTATTTATTCTGACCAAGGGGCTTTAGTCATGACTGGGGTGGCATCCCTAACTGCATGGACTACGCATCAGGTTAGTCCAGGGTGTAACACGAACGGTCCTCTACGGCTAGTTGCGGAGTAGACACTATCAATATCAATGTATAGGAGTTGACAAGAGACACTAAAGTCCCAATTTGTGCAACTAGTTTGAATGTGTAATTAGCATCAATAGCACAGGCAAAGCCAAGAGGTTGAGGTATATCAACAGGGTATTATCAATAATGATATGGCCACGCCGGGCCTTTTAACTGGCATTACTCCTTAAATCTCATCTCTCTCCGTCTCAACTATACCATGTCATCCACTTCCTGACACCGAATTACCGCCTTCTCGTCCACAATCTCCTCTTGATCAGTTCCATCCGCCGGCGACGGTATCCGTTTCGGCAGCGGAATATACTGGTGGATAAACCGCGGGAACGCAAATAGCAGGCTCCCTCTCCGCGGCACGCTGACCGGCTCGCCATCATCGTCGATCCTGAGCCTATCGATCCCTTCCTCCTCCTCGATGCCGACGTAGTCTCTCACCCTCACAGCGATCCGCATGACGATGCCCGTGAAGCCCCCGTGGTTATGGGCAAAGTGCATGTTCTCGCAGCCCTCGTTCTCCCACATGCTGAGCGAGTTCGAGATGGACAAGGAGCTCGCAAACCACCCAAGCATCATGAGGCCCACATCCCCGAGCGCATTACTGTCTATGATGGCGCGCATGAGGCCGCACCAACTAGACACATCCCAAGACTCAACATCGTGCAGGTGATGGTAGAGGGCCGGTAGTAGGAACCACAGGTTGAAGAGGGTGAGGTCTACCCACAGCGCGCACGCGAACAGGAATGACGCCGCATAGCTGACGCAGCTGCGTCGCACGAATACCAACAGCGTCGCTGCGATGTACAGGAACAGCACGGCCCAGCAGCCGGTGTAGATGATCTGGTCGGAAAGCTTCTCCATCGCCGCCGCGACGATTGGGTGAGTTCGAGAGATACGGGAAAGGATATGAATGTGGGTAGGTATGTATGTACTTTTATATTATATGTCGATTACTGCTTAGTCGTTTTCATCTGTCTCAAGTGTGTTTTCTCTTCTCCCTTTTCCGCTACGAGCGGGTGTAGATGTAAGGGGTTAAAAAAAGAGGAGCAAAGAAGGGAGGAGGGGAGTTGGTGTCTGAAGAGGGAAGATCCCCTTTTTTTACGATAGATGTAGATA